GATCAACCTTGAATTTGTTCTAATCTGGATGTACAGTAACTATTTGGTTTTTCTTTTTAAAATACTTTCCTTTGTGTCAAAGCAATTGGTTCTGAACTAGATTGATGAAATTCCTTCACACCTTTTCTCTTTCTCGGCTATTTTAAAGTTCTCTTCAAAAATCTATCTTGACCCTTTCTCTAGTTTAAAAAAAAGAAAACAAAACAAAAAACTAAGATGGGCATGTATCTGTAATTCCAGCACTGTGACTGAACTCAGGATCTCAAGTTTGAGGCTAGTCTGGGCTACATAAGCCAGATTCTCTCTCAAAACTATGAATCAAAATAAACTCTACTTTTTCTGTACCCAATAGTTCAGTCCGATTTCGAAGGAGTGCTTAGAATGTCTAATTTGTCGTACCAGAAAAAGATGAGCACAGCTCCAACCTTAGATGAAGTTTACTAGTTTCACAGCCTGAAAACTTCAACAAATCACTACCAGTATTTCAATTCCTCATGTGAAAAGTGCTGCCAAATACAATTCAACCATTTCGCTGAATTCCCGAGACACACCTGTATGTAATCAGTGCTTGCAAAGTGGAGGCTAAGTAACTCCTAGATGAGTCTGATCATCCATTCTTTCGTTTTTTGGCGTTACATTCCCCGCTGGGGTTTTAGAACAGAATTTGGTTCTTATTTAATCTGTGGTTCGAATCACCTTAATATAAACCGTTATGGTGGCTAGAGCTCTAATCTGCTTCCAAGTTGAAAAAAAAAATCCCACACACAACAGTGAAATCTGGAACTTCCCCAAAAAGATGGCTTATTTTACACTCAAAGATGACTATACCTAACAGACTTAAATGGGAAAGGGTGCAAGAGTCTCGTCTCTACAATTACGCACCAAGATCGTACTAAATTAAATGGATACATACTGTTCCACTAGTTGCTAGTACATTGCTAAGACGCATCCCAAAAGTAGAGTCCTCAAAAGCGGAAAAAAGAGGCGACACTGTTAGTCTCAGAAGGCTGAGAGATGGCCCTGGCTTGAAACCAACAGCCTTTAAACAGCAGACTAAGGCTGAGATTCCTCCTAGACCCCAGGCGGACAGAGGTCGGGGCCTGCCCCAAAGGTCAAAGACCCGAAGCCACGCGTCCAGCTGCGAACAGAATCGGATTGCCCTTGCCAGAATCCGTACCCAGAAGCCAGACACACGCTCACCCATAAACCCTAAACCCACACGGGTCAGAAGAGGCATCGTAGCGTAGACGCGTGCAGGCTCAGCCCCACCACATGCCCAAGGGGCAGACCATCGGACCCTCGGGGTCCAATAAGCCCAACCAGGCCGGACTCTCCATACTCACACTCACAGCCCTTCCTTCCTACGCCATCCGGCAGCCGAGGGCCCGGCGAGGGAGCTCCCAGACGCCCCCTTAGCCTCCGTTCCGGCGGCGGCCTGGGACCCGCTCCCCGCCGGGCACTGACGTCGCCGCCGCCGCCACTGCCGCCGCCACCACCACCATCGCGCAAGCGCGCAAGCGCACGCAGCTCAGCGCACTCTCTCTTCCCCCCCAACCCCCACCCCATCCGCCCTTTTCAACCATCTAGCTTTATTTGAACATAAGAAGTTAACAACGGACAGCAGACAAGCGGCCTTACTCAAAACGCGTGAAGAACAGAGATAGATCCTTTGCACAAACCGGTTGGCTGCACCTCCCTTTCATTCAGTCTCTTTCTTTTTCTTTTCATTTTCCAAGCTCTTTCTGGACTTCCCTTACTTTCTAAGCCCTCCACTCCACTGCTATGGCAGTGTCTTGACTAAATTTCAAAACTATTCCTTCTTTGTGAAATTTTTGAACAGATAGATCTCAAGTTAGGCCTGGTAGCTCACTCCTGATTCTGGAGGTGAAGAGCCGAGGGCAATGCGAGTTCAAGGCTAGACAAAGCTGTTACATAGTTACTGTGATACAAAGTGAAACTGTTTCAACAAAGGACAGAACTAAATTTAAATCTTAGCCTAGCTAGTAATAATTTATTTTTGTTTTGTTTTTTTGAGACAAGGTTTCCCTGTGTAGCTCTGGTTGTCCTGGAACTGTCTGAAGACCAAGTGGGTCTCAAGATCAGAGCTCTGCCTACCTCTGCCTTTAGAATGCTGGGGTTAAAGACGTGTGCTATCACTGCCGGACAATAATTTTTTATTTTAGATTAAGTAATATTTTCTTGGAATGTTAGTTTTTAAAGTTAAAATTAGGATGTTTGATTTATTGTTAAATTTGGAGCATTCCTGTTCGTTTTGGGATCCTGTTATACTGACTTTAGTGAACAGTTACATTGCAGTTGATAATGAGTGTAGCTACTTATATATGATTGAAACCGCAACAAGTCCATTTAAGGAAACCGTTAAAGCCTCGAATCAAAATAAATAGCTACCTTTATTTATGTATAAATATAGATTCCTTCTAAAGGTTTAGGAAATTCTTCCAATTGTGTATTTGTGACATCACAAGTCCTTAAAGCATTCAAGTCTGCTAGGCTGCTCATTCTATTTTCCTTTAAAGGCAGGTTACAGAAGTGCTTTGCTCTAAGTTCAGAGCCATAGTTCAACAAAAGCCAATAAAAGTGAAGACCAAAATAACCCTAGACCAGGATTTCACAACATTGACAGTTTGAAGCAGATAACTGTTATCAGTTGCTGTCTAGTGAATTCTAAGATAATGCTTCCCCAACTCTCCAGACCCTGCCCAATGTACCCCTGGAGGACAAAACTGTCCCTAGTTGAGAACTACAGTATTAAATCCATAATTATCCCAGCCCTAACTGTATACAGCCATATATATTCTTCCTTCTTGCCCTCAAGAAGTGATTTAAGAAAGACTAACAAAACAAACTTCTGGGTTCATTGCTACAGACCTCAACTGCTTATTGGTCCTCCTTTTCATTGTCAGTTTATCCAATTCTACAACTCTCCAAAGTGTCTCAATTTCCCTAAAGTTGCAACCACTTTTCTAATCAGCAAAGGATCTGTCTCTGACTTCTCAGAAAAGTGAACTTCCTGTTTCCAAACATACAGGCTTACAAATAAATTTCATCATTATCATTGAGAATATTTCTCCTTCCCCCAACTCTGTGTGGGTTAGTCTGTCTTCCATGAGTGTTCCTTTCTTCTTAGTGTCTTGGGATATCTATCTATCTATCTATCTATCTATCTATCTATCATCTATCTATAATATATATGTATGTATGTATTTGCGTGTGTGTATGGCAACATGCTTCCCACCCAGTGCTCATATAGAGAAATCAGAGGACATGCAAATATATGAAATCTAAATCAGGAATTAAAATCAGGTCCTTAGGCTTGAGAGAAAGTGCTTTACCTGGGGAGCCTTCTTGGCAGCCTCAGTTCTACGAGTTTTATTGTTTGAGGCAGGGTCTCAGGTTGCTAATGTAACCTCAACATCACTATATAATCAGTGATAACTTTGTATTTCTAATTTACCTCTCCACCTCCTGATATTGAGATTATAGGCTTGAACCACTATCCTAAACCACCTACCAGCATTGAATTTTTTTAAAAATTATATTTTATGTGTATGGGTGTTTAGTCTGTATGAATGTCTGTGCACCACCTTTGTACCTGTGCCTACAGAAGCCAGAGGAAGGTTTGGAGCCCCTGGAACTGGAGTCACAGATAATTGTGAACTACCAGGTGGGTATTGGAAACTGAATTTATGTCCTGTAGAAGAACAGCCATTTCTCCAACCCATAATTTTATTTATTTACTTTTGAGACAAAGAATTACTGTGTAGATCAAGATGGCTTCAAACTCACAAAGATCCCCTTGCTTCCACCTCCTGAGTGCTAGGATTGAAGGTGTGTACTACCAACTCTCATCAGTGGTTTGACTACTGCAGCTCTAACTCTATCAAGATCTTTATAAACCCTACCCTTGATTTTTTAAAATTCAACTGTTTTTCTCAATCGAGTCTTTTCTCCCATACTACAGTTCTCCTATCTTTATCCTAACAAAATAAAAACTAATAAAACACAACATTCAGGGGTTCTCTTTATAGCCCAGGCTGTCTTGGAACTCACTCTGTAGACCAGGCTGGCCTCGAACTCAGAGATCCACCTTCCTCTGCCTCCCAAGTGCTGGGATTAAAGGCATGCGCCACCCAAAAGCATTTTATAATGTTTCTATTTCTCACTCTTCTCCAAACTATGCCTATTATTCCAAAATTTACAAGACCTTTGAAGATCTAGGTTTCTCCCTAGCTTGATCTCCTAGCCGGATGGCAATGGTCTCAGGAGTAGAAGAGCTCTTCTATTCTCCCCCACCCACTGATAATCTGTACTCTGAAAGAGGATCTCACTAAATTGTCAGTCTGGCTTTACATTCCAGAGGTCAAGTGATCCTCCAGCTTCAGTCTGAGGACTACTCGGTGTGAGCTACCACGCCTTCATTTTCTTTTGTCTCAGAAAGTGAACTCTTAAACTTCTAACAAGAATGAACTTAAAGAAACTCCAGAAGGCGCGGCGTTGTTGTTCCCACAGCCAGGAAAACAGTTATCTCATGGACTTCCGGAGGAACGCCTACTTATCCTTCGTGACTTTAAGAGTAACTTCCTGCGTCAATCCTACAGGCATTCCTCAAAATAAAAGTTTTGTTCATTGTTGGCCAAAGGCGCCTCGGAATTTCTGAGACCGTATTCTGTTAACTGAAATGTGTTTACGCATCTATTTCCCTGGTTTAAACAGGCCAAAACACCCTGTAGGCTTTGGCAGTAGTAGTTTTGTAGTTTTTCCTAGGCGTTCAAACAGTAAAGCGTCCCGAGCAAGGCTGCCTTCAGGGATGATGGTTGCATTAACGCCCCAACGGGAGAATCGGTAGGGTTAACCGGTGAGTTCCCAGCATCTCCGCCTGCGTGGCAGGAGATTTAACGCCCTCTGCGGTGATAGGCTCCAGAGGTAGAGGTGTGCCTGCCCCGCGTCTCCCTGCGAGTGCGCAGGCGCACAGGTCCTCGGGGCGCATGCGCGCTCACGCGCACCCGGTCCGATCTTGTAAAGTCCGAGAGCTGTGGGGGCTGGAGAGGAGTGGCCGTAGCAGTCGGATGAGTCTTCTGGAAAGTAGCTGAGGGAGCTGGTCAGCGGGACAGGTAGGACGATATCCCAAGGAGAAAGAGGGTGTGGTGGTGGTTCACTGTTTTTAGGGTCAGACTTGAGGGGAGAAGGGAGCTCCAGCTAGTTCTCGGTGGATTGGGCCGAGAACGCGATCGCCAGGCGTTGGCGACCAGCGCGAGCCCCGCGCAGGAAGGGAGGCGCTATGGTGATGCCTTGGACTTGGCTCCTCATCCCTCACCTCCAGCCTCATGGTGTTTCTCGTTAGTATTAACAGACTATCTGGTGGCTCTAATGAACACATAGTTTTGAAATAGTAGAAGAATGACCCCGAGGCCCCTGGCATTGCAGACTTCACTGTCTAGGAAATTCCCTGCTTATCTTGAGGCTTCCCCGCGGGCAAGCACCAAGAATATGGTCAGTCAAAAGACAATTTTTTTCCCAATTCGGTTTGTGTGTGAGGAAAGTATCTTAAAGTACTGTTACACTTCTTTTGTGTGTGTGTGTGTGTGTGTGTGTTTCGAGACAGGGTTTCTCTGTATAGCCCTGGCTGTCCTGGAACTCATTCTGTAGACCAGGCTGGCCTCGAACTCAGAAATCCACCTGCCTCTGCCTCCCAAGTGCTGGGGTTAAAGTGTGCGCCACCACCGCCCGGCTTACTGTTACACTTCTTTCCTTCGTCTTTAATTATTAGTCACTGAGCTATTAGGAAAAGCAAACTGGTGATAGAGGAAGCGAAAAACATCCGAGTTGAGGAAAGAGATCTTTCCTTTTTGCTGTTTGTCATGTGGGTAGGTTTGGGCTGAGGGCAGGGATGGTGATTGCAGGAGAGTTCAGAAACTGGCGCTTTTTGACAGAGTGTTCTCAGCCTTATGAAAATAGTATAGTTTCTTACTTAAAGATATTTTAAGAATTAAAATAACTTCATCTGTCCTGCTGCCTCTTGTAAGAGGGTTTTGAGATGTCCTGGTAAAATGCTAATAGTTCAGTCATAGCAAGGTAAAACAGATCCTTCTCACATTCTTTTTTTTTTTTTTTCTTGGACAATACTATGCTTACATTCTGTGAAGCTCTGGGAAGTGGTGGTGCACTCCTTTAGTCCCAGCACTTGGGAGGCAGAAGCAGGTGTATATCTGTGAGTTTGAGGTCAGCCTAGTCCAGTGAGGCATTACTTGTTAAAGCATTTTTTTTTTTAAAGACATGATCTCACTATGTAGCTCAGGCTGGTCTGGAACTCAGAGATCTGCCTGCCTCAGTCTCTCAAGTGCTGAAATTAAAGACATGCACATATACACCATCCCCCCTCAAGCTAGCTTAAGTACTTTTTGATGTCCAAACTTAAAGCTATTTCATAACAAAGTAAGGAACGTTAGTATTTCTGTCACTGGCAAAGTTGATGCCCCAGGTGTCCACTGAACACTTGTCACTTGTTCTTTTGGTGAGAAGTTATGAGAAAGAATACATTCAAGTAGATAGTAACAGATTGGAGAACTCTTTTTCTTACCATGCTTGTGGGACAGGTCATACTAAAGTAATTTAATGATTAAACCTAGCCTGTACCTGAAATAATTATCATTCTTAGTAGGACTTCTTGTTTCATTTGGATTTTTAGGTGGCTTGTTTTTGGGTTGGGGTCTTTTTTCTACAGTGGGTGGCTGGAGTTCCAGGTGAGAGTCCAGTGACACCCCATTCTCTCTCTATCAGAGAATGTCAACAGGCCTGATCCTGAGAGTCTTTTGTGAAGTAATTCCAGTTGTTCCAATTAAGATGGTAATGCTTATTTATGCTCTGAGGACAGTGTTCCATAATAACACATTTAATATTTCTGAGGCTGTTATATAGGCCAGCTGCAGCGACCTCATGAAACCCCTTCTTAAAACAACAATTAAACAATAGAGATATATTAAATATATATTTCCTGATTAGTTCTCTCAGCCTGGTGGTGGTTCAAGATAGGAGCTCTCAGCTATTGCTCAAACTCCCTCTCTGCCTGCTGCCATGCTCCTTAGCCATGATGGTAGAATAAATGCTTTCTTCTGTAAGTTGTCTTGCTCATGGTCTTTTGTTCCAGCAGTAGTAAAAATGAACTCAGACAGAAGCTGGTACTGTTTAGACCAGGATAAAAATGAATATACAGCTATATCTACATATAAACTATATTGAACACTCTGTTCTAGGCACTTTTTTGTTTTGGTATTTGGTGCTTAGAGATTAAACCCAGGTTCCCTCCTGCATGCTACATATGCTTCTTCTGAGAACTGCTCTCCTAGGAATTGGTACTGTTATAAATACTTTGCATAAGTGAACCATGTAATACTTACTGGATTTAAGCATGGTTGTTCTCATTCAATTAAGAAACTACAATATAAAAATTAAGTAAGCAGTAGTCTGAATTTGAAAACAATATGTCAGCTTTTGCCTGTTATCCTAATGTTTGGGAGCCAGAGGCAGGAATATTGCTGAGGTTTTGTTATTGTTTTATATTTTAATTAATCTTTTTTTATGTGTGTGGGTGTGCACACATATGGCTGTCAGGACAGCTTGCAAGAATCCATTCTTTCTTTCCATCGTGTGGGTACAGGGTTCAAATTCAGGTTATCAGACTTGGCTTCAGGCACTTTTGCCTGCTGAGACATTTTGAGGGCTCAGACTGATTTAAATTTGAAACTATCTGCCGGGCAGTGGTGGCGCACGCCTTTAATCCCAGCACTTGGGAGGCAGAGGCAGGCGGATTTCTGAGTTCGAGGCCAGCCTGGTCTACAGAGTGAGTTCCAGGACAGCCAGGGCTACACAGAGAAACCCTGTCTCGAAACCCCACCCCCCCAAAGAAATTGTAACTAATCTGGTCTAAATAGTACCAGCTTCTATCTTAGTTCATTTTTACTATTGCTGAGGCAAAAGATTGTGACCAAGGCAAATTGCAGAAGAAAGCACTTATTTTGGCTCACAGTTTCATAGAGGGTCAAAGTCCATGATCTTCAAGTCGAGGAGCATGGCAGCAGGCAGAGAGGGAGCTTGAGCAATAGCTGGGAGCTCATATCATGAGACACCACCACCAGGCTGAGAGAACTGGGAATAGCATGGGCATTTTAAACCCCAAAGCTTGGCCCCAGTGACACAGTTCCTCCAACAAGGCCACCCCTCTAATCCTTCTTTCCCAAACCATTCTATGGACTAGGGATTAAGTATTCAAAGAGATGTATCTGTTGGGGCCATTTTCATTCAAACCACCACAGCGAGTATACACACATGTCCCCGTCAGAGGACAGCTTGTAAGACTCTTCTCTCTTTCCACCTTATGAATTCCTGGAATGGAACTCCGGTCATCAGGTACGTGAGCCAGCATCTTACCTATTAAGCAGTCTTACTGGCCCCAGGAACATCAGTCTTTAATGCTCTTTGGAATTATTCTTTTAGAAACCTCAGTATTGATGTTCTCTGTATGTGTATATACCCATTGCTCTTTTTAGACTCTCTTGGAAACTCCTGAACACATCTAATGCAATGCCTTTTTGAATCCACTAACCTGAGAGGGTTGGAGGGAGTGTTTCATGTCATTGTCATTTATCCTCACCTAAACTTGGTATCTAACTTACTTAATCTGCCAAATTATCATCTTTCCTAGACAAATAGCAGAAGAGCTGCTGGCTTCTGCATGGCTTTTTCACCTTCCACATGTGTACTGTTAATGTCATTGATCATATATTCCCCAGGATTACACTCAAGTCGCTTAGGGTAGAATTGTGGAAATTCCAAAGCTGACAGAAGCTTGACGGCTGGGTGTTAGACACCAAACAGTTAAAATACTCAGTTCTGTAAAACTGAAGTATAATTTTGGGTTTTGTTTTATTTTTTGGTTCTTGATTTCTAGTGGTTCTCTCTCTGACTCACTTGATTTTGTTTCCCTTGAATGCATCTGTCCTTTGAAACATAGATGTTTATAATAGATATGATTCTGTGGTAAACTTATGTCTCATCATTTGCATACTTTAGGGGTGGGGGCTCCATGTAAGAATAGCTAATCTACTTAGAAGAAAACTAGAACGGAAATAAAGGGAGAAAAAAAACTTTATATCTTTTTTTTTTTTTTGGTTTTTCGAGACAGGGTTTCTCTGTGTAGCCCTGGCTGTCCTGGAACTCACTCTGTAGACCAGGCTGGCCTCGAACTCAGAAATCCACCTGCCTCTGCCTCCCAAGTGCTGGGATTAAAGGCATGCGCCACCACCGCCCGGCAAAAACCCTATTTCTTAAGACAAGATTGTGTGTATAGCCTAGGCTGACCCTGAGGTAGTGATCCTCTTACCCTCCCAAGCATTGGTATGGACCATCACACCTGGCTGTGGAAACTGTTCTTAACATAAACCATCTGATCTAAATGCCTTCAGAAATTGTTAAATTTGAAACATTGTTTCTTTTTTGGCTTAAAGTTCTCTCTCTCTGTGTCTCTGCCTGCCTGCTTGTGTCTGTATCTTTTTTACATAAAAGTAGCCCAGATTGACTTGAAAATTCCCTATATAGCCCAGGATGGCCTTAAACTTATAATCATCTTGCCTTAGCCTACTGGAATTATAGGCATGCTGCCACAAATCTGGCCAAGTACATGAACATTTTAGATATCATATTAGAAATGAAATGTAGCCGGGCAGTGGTGGCGCACACCTTTAATCCCAGCACTTGGGAGGCAGAGGCAGGCGGATTTCTGAGTTCGAGACCAGCCTGGTCTACAGAGTGAGTTCCAGGACAGCCGGAGATACACAGAGAAACCCTGTCTCGAAAAACCAAAAAAAAAAAAAAAGAAAAATGTATGCCAGTGTGATGATGGGTGCCAGTAGTCCTAACACTTAGAAGGTTGGGACAGGGAAGGGGATCATGAATTCAGCACCAACTTTTGCTACATAGGGTTTGAAGTGTGCTTTTATTACAGATATTTATTTGTAGGGAACGGTGTGCTTTGGTGTGCCTTGGAAGTTGAGGAAACTGTTTGGTGGGTTGGTTCTCTCCTACCATGTGGTTCCTGGGGGATTAAACTCAGATCAAC